GGAAGAGCAAGAAGGGAGCGACCGGATCATCGTGGGATACCGATTAGGAAAGCTTTACGTTTTGTGCACCGCCGCGGGACAATATCGTAACAATCGTCCCGTACGACTGCGTGCACACAATTTTATGCAAGCGAAAAGTCGGTCGTCGAGAAAGAAAGAAGTGCAATGTTCAATGCAATACAATCGATTTATAATCGGCTAATCGATTTATCGTATCAAATTTACGCAGTTTATATATAAATATTGATTTAAAAAATGTTGGGATTCACGTTATACGAGAGAGATACGACGCGATAAAATATTCTTCTATAATAAAATATATTTTTTATATAAAAACTTGTAATGATAAATATATGATATCTGTATTTATGAAAGAATGCATTGTGAGATGCATTTTTGTATTTCCCAGGAAAGACGTAATATTTACGACACTAATCACAATTTAAATCTGGGAACCGAGAAATATCATGTAAATCTTATGGAAACATCATCATCTAACGTTACAGTTGTGGATGTTGCCACATAGGTCACCGGTGTACGAAAGACGTGAGAAGAAACGAATGAGAGAGCGGGGAATAATAGCTTCGTTCCTCGAGAACGGACTCGAGCATCGTGATTCGGCATACCGCGCCATGGAAAGGTCAGGAATCGTAACTCGTCTATGATGTGGAATATCCATGAATGCAAGAGAGATGAAACGAAAAAGCGGATTGACGCGAGTTCTAGAGAATTAGAGAATTTAAAATAGAATTTACTCGCGAACTCACGCTAAGCTAAAACATCATCCGAGTTTTAACGATACTTTACACACATGGGAAAAATAATCTCTCATCGAAATTTCCATGCGAAAAAATCCCTTTTATTCACGAATGCAACTTCATCACCCACATTTCCGCCAACGATTACACGAGACTACAAATTGGCCTCGATATAAAGGTTCGAGATTTGAACGATATAATACACCTACTTGAAAGGAATTAAAAATTTCATTGAGCTAGGATCGGCGGATTCTGCGCAGAATATCGGAGCCGTGGTTTAACTCGTTACGTATTACCGGGAGATTATGTATTATGAGACCCTCGTTTTACTAGAGGATTTGCGCAACGATCGGTCGGTGCGAACAATTGACCGAGCTCTTTTATCTCACCTTATGAGTTCGGATCGGCGACGATTCGCATTATAATGAGAGCAAGATCACATAATCTTCCTCGTAATGACTCGCCTCGTCGACCCTCAAAGCGACATTAATCTAATTTAATGTCGTTTTATCGCCAAGAGAAATTACAGAATAATTAATAATTTAAATTAATACACTATAATTTTAAAGAGAATGGTAAATATTTTTAAACAAGATTAGTCTTCGGGCCTTGAAAATTTAAATTTTATTTGTGTTTGCCAAGATTCACTTTTCGAACAATGAGATAGCAACTTCCGAAGCCACGAAGATGATGAGCGGATAGTAAGAAGGCTACCTTGAAGGGATCGTCGAATAATCCGTAATCTTGGCTGGTCGTCCGTGAATCGGGCGTGTTTTACAACCGCAGAAAAGTTGGGCTCAATGCACGTTGCATTGGTGCGTTGCGGTGAGAAAGGTGGTTGTGTAAAAAACACCGAGGCGAATCAACAAGATACTAATGCATCCCAATTGAATACGCTAGAAAAATAATAACTAAGCAAAAAATAAGCAAATTATTAAATATGATAGACACGATGTTCACAGCAACAAAATATTCTATCATTTAAAGAAACGTATATATTTTTGGAAAAGGTTTTATCAAAGATTTAAATAATTATTGAATATATATTTGTTTTTGGAAAAAAATGTTTATCACACAAAACTAAATAAAGACGATCCCACTCGGCCCGTATCAGATAATCAATCGAATTTTTACCAAATTAAACCGAACTGCTTATCGAAGCAAAATCGAAATATCACGCGAAAACGCGATTAATTATTCGCGATATATTAAAACGTGACTGTTTAAGTATTTGGGTACTTAGCTTCCTCTTCAGGCTAAACCTTCCAGGTACTAAGCCTTTCCGCCAACGTCAAGGTATACCCATTGGAAGGGTTTTTTATATAATTTTTAATATAATATATAATTTGTAATTTATTTTATAATTGAGAGATTATATGCCAGCGATGGTATGGTCATAAATGCGAGATCGCTAGGGCTGCACATTTGATTGCATATGCAGCTGTCACGGCCAGGCTTGCGAGGGCTCAAACCGAATGTCATCCATAACGGAATCAGATACGACAACGGAAATCCTATCGAAAACAATGACGAGTACATTTATAATGCAAATCAAAGGTCGATGACGAGATGAACATGTCGTTGATACGCTAGAAATGAGAGATTCTAAATGAGATATGTATTTAATGACGTCAGAAAATCTCAATCTGAGAAAATAAGTCAAAAGTATAATGTGTTCCGACATTATCAAGTCAGTTAAAGAATTTCTAGAAACAAAAAAGATATTAGAATTAAAAGTTTTTCATTTTTCGAATCAATATGTGTTGAGTTTTCAACAAAAAATAAAAGACAGAAAATGTTATACGAATCGTGTAGCGGAAACAAAACACCCACGCAAAGATAATATCTGAACTAGTAGCCTCTGACTAGGTGCACACTGAACTAATCAATTTTCAAGATTGCCATAGGCAAGGCCAAGTATCTCACGGCGCACAAACTTAACACAGTAACCAGCTCTACTTGTCGCCGATCATTTATCGGAGACTATCAACGTTGAACCCAAGCGTGTCGGTTGGGTCGTCGACACACCAAGAGTGACTCTCATTAAATTTATCAATACTCTCTACAATTAATTACTATATAATTAATCTGTTAATTAATACAAAAGATAATATATAACAAGCGTTTGAGGTAACTGGAAAGAATAGAGATAAAAAGTGAAATTCTAGTCAGCTGATTTTGATTCGCGATAAGAAAGTAAAACTAAATGCTTAATGACAAATTCTATAAAAAATTAATAATAATATTTTTGAATGATTGATGAAAATACATATATTAAGAGACAACGAGAGGAGAAACCGATTTCATCTACGACTGACAATGCGAGATAATGTGAGGCAGTTGTCCTGTGTAGTTATCCCAGCATAGCTCGAACCATTAGCAAGGACGCGATTAATCGTGCCTGACGAAGTCAATGTGCAACAACGGACTTCAGCAGATAACGATCTCTCATATCGCATGCTCTCGCGGAAGCAGATATAAATAACGGTACGACAATATTAAATTGACTGTAAACGAGAATAACAAAACTTGTAATAAAGAGCTGGGATTAATACATTCACAACGTGAAAGTTTTTATATAAATTTATACAATGAGTTTTTGAAAATGTGTTATTTTTGAGAGCTTTCAAGTTTATATAAAAATTGAAAATTAAATAATATCCCTCTCATTAAAATCAAACGGATCAAAGGATTGACAAAAGCAGGAAGTAGTCATTTCTACGCCGCTCGATCTCATATACATGTATTTCTTTCCATCGTATATATATACGTACCGGATACAAGTACTCGCGCGTGATAAATGGGAAGTGTATGAAAAGCGGTGCTGAAAATACAGATAGGGATATACATCAGCGCCGTTCGGGAGGTAGATAATGATATCTTAGTCTTTTTCCAATTCTCTGAGGTAGCTAAGAGAGGAGACCGAGGATCTTGAGTGATCCAGCGTGATCGATCGATCGATCGATCGATCGATCGATCGATCGATCGATTTCGCTGTCCACATCAACGTCCATCGAACGAGCGGGAGTGCGTGTCATGGGTCGTTTTGAGATCCGATTTCTGCTTGCGAATTAATAATAACTGCTAGCCGGACTGTCCCAAGCGGGATTATAGCCTCCGTTGTTCCAGGACGGATCGTAGGCGCCGGCGGCGACTGGAGCTGGACCGGCCGGCACGCGTTGCGCTTCCGCATTGTAAAGAGAGAAATGTACGGCCTTGGCTTGCTGGACCTCGGGTGTGTCAACTACGCGACCATCTGGACCCAATGGGGCCGGTGGTCCGCTGCATAATAAAAGGAAATTGTAATATAAAACTAAATTCAGACAATTTGGAAACAAATAAACTAACTGAATTAATTCTCTTATTAGATAAAGAATGAAATAGAAAATAATGACAGAGGATAACATGTTGAAGAATAATTGACGCTAAGTTAGAAGATAAAGCTCTGTGTAATTTGATTGAATTTAAATACAAAAATCCACGAAGACGATTTCAAAAAAATCAACTCACAATCAGAGCTAGATCGAAATGTCTGTCCGAAACGAACCTGTAATGCGGAATATAATTTCCGGGAGCATAGGGCCCATTAGGTCCGGCGTAAGCACCAGCCGGTCCTGGTCCCTTCGGCGCACGTGCGTTAGCTTCCGCTACGGCATTTAAATGAGCAACTTTTAATTGCGCGACTTCCGGCGTATCCACCACGCGACCATCTGGACCCAGTGGTGCTGGAGAAGCGTGAGGCCCATACCACTGTGGAGCCGCTAGAATAACGCTCGACATTGCGAAGAAGAGAATCTACAATATAAACTTTTAATCCTCATTATTTTGTATTAAAAAAATATTCATTTTTAATTATATATAATAAATTTCCCACAATATAAGAATATTAAAAATAATTAATATATTAATAAATATTAATAAATATTAATTAATAATAAATTATAAAATTATTAATAATATTAAATAAAACAAACGATTGATGAACATATTCATTAAACGATGAATATCAATGTTGATAAGATTAATTTTGCAGCCATTTAATATCGATATCAGGATAACAAATACAAGAAATCGATAAAAAATGTTTCGGTATATTAAAGTAATCTCCAAAAATATGCTATCGCACCTCTTTCGAGATTTCAAAGATACTCACGAGATATCCGATCATTGCGGCGAGTCCTGCTGCGTATGCACCAAAAAAATATTGCCTAGATCCTCGGCACTACTCGAACTATCGACATGTGCGTTTAGATCCGCATTATAACTGCCATCAACGTGCATGGTGCAATTTATAGGGGGTACGATGCCCCTCTACCTCTGCGCGGGGTACAACCACACCCAGAGAAATGCTCTCCTTAAGTATGACACGTGCCCTGCCCTGTAACATTTAACGTGCGTTAACAATGACGCTCGATATATGTATATGTTTGTCCCGCAACCTCGAGTCGCACATAAAAGTGCGAGCTATGCGGGCTCTATGCACGCCATAAGTTATCCGCGGATGCAAGTTGCAATCATCGGCGACTTGGGCTCTTGCCAAAATGATTACGGGGCCAAGGAGCAACGAGGTTTAATAAGAATCTTTCCAACATGATGCAAGAGTGCTTTGTTTTCTCACAGATGACAGTTAGAAATTTACTGTACCGGAAAATTTGATGCATCGCGCAGGGAAACAATTGTGTGTATGCCTTTTATACATTTTGTATAAAAAAGTTTTATAAATATATGTAATAGAGGAACAATTTTTACATATCATATAATTATATGCAACATAATGATATAAATATTCTTATTATTATATATTTATAT